CTCTTTAAAAATAGATGCTTATTTCTCAGTATTCACCAAGAGAGCAGCAAAACCTTTGATGAGCTATTAAGAGATTACCAAGTTCGGCATAATTCTTGGAACTATGAATATTGATTTGTATTTTAAAGCTTTTGCTCACTTTAAAAATAAAGGTAAATTTCTTAACTACTTAAGTAACGTTTTACGCCAAACAGTTCTCAACTGAAAAGTTGTGATGACTACATTTCTGAGTTAAAATAAGCTAGCACAGTGATCAGTTTACAAAGAGTATCTATAATGTGCCTTCAGCTCTGATTTCTTGTTGCCTATCCTGACAACCATCTCCATTCTACTGCCTAGACTCACTTTACAGACAAAAGGAAAACATTTTTCTTTTTCATTTTCCTTCTCCCAGTTGCCATCTCTTTCTCTCACTTGATCTCATTTGGTCTCATTTCTGGTTTTGACTTCTGTTAAGAAATGGAATTTTCTGTATTCAATCTATAGTATGCCCTGTATCTTCATCAATTATGCTTCAACTGTACACAAATATGGAAACTGATAACTGTAGCCTGTCAGAAGGTATTTCTATAAGGCAGAAGTTTCTATAATTCATTTTTAAGGGAAGTTTCCTAATGAATTTTTAAAGCATATATTTTTTCATTCTTAGCATCAAAGTCTATTATTTTCATAAGCAGTTTTCAGAATGGTATGTCCACGTGTGAAGCTTTGATAACATCCTTTATTATGTTCTTAACAAATGTGGAACTCAGTTATTTCAAATCTGTTCAATTAATGCTCTATTGCTTTTTCATGCTGATCAGTCAGTCTTTTAAGCTCTTTGCTGAAATAACAGGAGCTTAAACCACATAATTAATACTTGGTGTTTGAGGAGGGGGTATGCCTTGAAAAGCTCAATTCTCTAAGCAAAGTAGTTTGAAAACTGTTTTCATTTTCCTGATGATAATCCATCAATTTCTACAGTCCTTAAAATAATATAAAGCAGTTAAGCCATGGAGTTTCAAGCCTTACTGACCACTGGAAGTAAGCTTAAGTTCTGTTTGGAAGGATATAAAAATATTTTTATACAAAGAAAAATTAATAGCCTCAAGCATTTGGATAAGGACAAAATAATCCATAAACTCTAATGTTTTGGTTTACTTGGGAAGCCTTTAGAAAGTGTTAAAATGGAAAGAACAAATATCTCAAAGATAACTTTAATGGAAAATTCTAGAAATTAAGCCTTTTCCCCCTCGTAACATATGCTGTCATTTACAGTAAATACAGTTTCAAAGAAACAGAATCAAAATAGACCGTCCCAGCTCAATGATACCAGAGAAAACGTCGTGGTTTGATAACTGTAGAAATGGTTCAAGAAGCTAAGAAACAGAGAGTATGATTCTCCTGTCATCTATCAGAAATTTCAGCACAAGTTTGTTTTAAGGCAGCAATAATGCCAAGCTTCTAGAGCAGAGAAAAAGGTCAGCAAACTATAGTCCAGCTAAGGGCCTGCTGTGCAATGGTCTTCATATTTTTAAAGAGTTTATAAAAAAAAAAAAAGAAGAAGAAGAAAGTAAAAGAAGAGGAATATGCAAAAGACAACTGTATGTAGCCAGCAAATCCTAAAGTATTTAGACTAGGCACTGTACAGAAAAAGTTTGCTGATCCGTGTTCTGATGCATAGTCTGAAATTTAAATTTAATATTTCTTTTTCCTTTACCACGAAAGCAACAAACTAGGACACAGAGAACTAGAATCAAGAAAAAAGTGAAAATGCCACATCTACCACAAAAATTATCCAGGAATATGAATTAAATGCAGTCATGTGCTTGAACTGGTTCATACTGGTTTCCATGGACCAGTTATTAAATTTTCAGGAATTTTGTGAGTTAACTGGCAATCCATTGCTGGTTTGAAATCAGCCATTTGTGAGAATATTTACACCATGGAAATTAGCAAGCACTATAAATAGAGCTTTGGGGTGGGGGGTTGTTTGCTTATGTTTATTTTGTCTGCTTTAGAGCACACCAGTGACTGAATGTCTTCTTCACATGAATTGTAAAGTAAGATTTCTGTCAAAGTATCTCAGTGTTGAAATTATCTTGCTCAACCCTGCATATATTTCTAACAAAGTGATCCTTAGCCTTTTGCATATAGTTCTTTTGACTGAGAACTTTCTTTTGGCAAGGGAGCCCATTCAATTTGGGATTTGTATGACAACCACCACGGACTCCCATTTCTACAGTATTACTGACTGAAAACCTTCTGTTGCCAAATACAAAGAAATTCTGGATGGAATATAACAAGCAGTTATAAAAGCATACCTATGTGCATGTGTTTCGTGCATGTATTTGGATCTCCCCAAGGGACAAAAACTAAAAGAAAACTGGAAAGCAGAGGGACTGGCATGTGAGCTGACTGCATAGAAGCTGTATGGAGGGTTATGGCTCTCATAATCAAGGAACTTAGGATTTAAATGTCCTGAGAATACAAAACAGGAAAAGATGTTATTACATAGATTCTCAGATGAAGGCAGGACAGTTGAGTGATTTTTAAAGCAGTAAAATGCTATTAAATGAGTAACTATGGTTCAAGGAAGTGGTTCGAAGAAGTGAAAAGGAAATTTAAGCTTGGATTCTGGTTGGTAAAAGAGTCTCCCTTGGGAAGTCATAGGCCAGAGGTTCAGATTTAAACTACTTGCTTGATCTGGACCCTACCAAGCTGAAAAATTAACATCAAAGGGGCAATAATAATCACTAAAGGTATTTGGCAGAAGCAGATGAAAACCTTCTTAAAAGATTAATTATCAGAGATCAAGGTCTTCTAACAATAAGCCCACAAAGCACAAAGATGCAGAATATGCAAGGAACATGTAACAGACCATGAAAAATGTCAGTAAACCCAACAAACACACAGAACTTACAATAATAAAGCTATCAGAGTTAAGTATTTTGAAATATAATATTCATGTAAAAAGAAAATTGAAGGCACAAGTTATAATAAAAAGAAATAATTTTTAAAAACCTGGCAAAAATGAAAAAGAAACAATTTAGATTTCTAGAAATAACCAAAATCACTGAAAAGAGATTTAGTAAACTGTGTCCGTAAAGAAATTAACTAGGCAGTGAGCACACATAAATAGAACACCTGGGAGAAAAATTAACAGACACCAACAATAGAATGACAAGGTCTAATATATTCTTAATAGGAGTATACAAAAAGAATACAAAGAATGGAGAAAGGTGATATATTGAATATTACAACTGAGAATTTCCTGTAACTGACTAAATGCAAGAATCCTTAGCCTCAAGGAACAAACAGAATGAAATAGAAGAAAAGTAAAATAAAGTCTACACCTGGACATACTGAATATAAAGACAAAGAACAAGTCTTGAAAGTGGCCAAAAAAAAAAAAAAAACAGAATAACTTAAAAAAAAGACAATTACATCTTTAATAATTTTTTTCAGTAGCAACAATGGATAGAGTCCAGAATATTTGGGATAAAATTAAAGTATTAAAAGAAATTATTGATAATTACTACTCAGCTAAACTCTTATTCTAGAATAAGGAAAAAAGTAAAAATTTTCAGTAAAGAATGAGAGAGAGAGAGAGAGAGAGAGAGAGAAAGGGTCTGCTATAAGAACTACTAAATGATATACTTCATGGAAGAGGAAGTTAAGTTCAGAAGGAGTAGCAGGAAGGAGTGGTAAGAAGAGAAAGTGGTATGTGGATTGGTGAATCTAAAGAAGCCTTGACTATCTGTATTAGTCAGCTCTGGCTACCATAACAAAATACCACAGAGTGGGTGGCTTAGACAACAGAAATGTATTCTCTCACAGTTCAGGAGGCTGGAAGTCCAAGATAAAGGTACCAGCAGGGCTGGTTTCCTGTGAGATCTCTCCATGGTTTCCAGAAGGCCATCTTCCCTCTGTGTCCTCACATGGTCTTTTCTCAGTGCATGCACACTCCTGGTGTCTCTTTCTCTTCTTATAAGGACACTAGTCCTATTAGATTGGGGCCCCACCATTATCATCTCATTTAACCTTAATTAACTCCTTAAAGGCCATATCTCCAAATACATTTACATTGGGAGTTAGGGCTTCAACATATTAATCTGGGGGCACACAACTCAGTCCCTAACACTACAAAAGATAATAATAGAGGTAACTTCCAATGGGAAGAGAAAATAAGGTAAAATTAAAATATCAGAAAGCAACATGTAAAAGTATGTGCCTTTAATTTCTTCAGAAGTAAAAAGGAGTGTAAATAGTTTTAGATTTTATGTCAAATATGCATGTTAAATTTTTAAAACATAGATATAGCATGTAGAAATTCCAAACAGAGGAGGAAAAAGTAAAAGTAAAAAGAAAATTTGCTCAATCTAATAAAGACAAAAAGAATCATAGATAAAAATAATACATTTATATTCACCCTAAACATTCTAGGTGAAATATAAAAATATCTTAAGTCTATTGATGATTTTACAAGAAAGTATAGAATATTCAGGCCCAAAAGTAAACAAAGGCGGGAGTCTAGAAAGTTAAGCAGAACACTGAAGCCCACTTTTACCTTGAAGGCATTTGCTGAACCAAGAGAACTTAAGCTTTGGTTTTGTGACTTCAAGAAGCATGAAGCATAGAAGAATATAAGCTAGCAAGTATAAAAGTAATGACAGAAATATAAAATCAGAATTTTGCAGCTCCAATACAATAATTGATTCAGACAAGGATCATCTAGCGCATAAAGTAAGATGTTGCTGGCAAGTAGAATATTCTCATCTTGCCAAAGTATCATCCTACAGATTATCTGTTAATTAAAAAAAATAAAACTAAAGTGAGCCTTAACAAAGATGAAATATGATGTTCACCACTTTAACTAAATGATCAAGGCTAGCATCACTGACAATGAGATATCCTAAGTCCCCCCCTGATGAGTGCAGAAAGAGTACATAACATCACCTATGAAGTATTCTTGCCAAAAATTGCATCCAGAATCGAATCACATCATATCAGAGACTTACCTTCCAGTTGATAAGAAAGCCAGCGCATAGACAATTTCACACCATGGGAAAATAGAGAGATCAGTACAGAATAGAGACTTTCTGCATGACAACTGGCCAGGCCTTTTCACAAGTTGATATCACTGAAAAGAAACAGAAAAAGAAAGGTTAGGGACTGTTTGAGATTAAATGAAACTAAAAAGGAAGTTTGAATGTGGACTGCATTTAGATGATATTAAAAACTTGTTGCTAGTTTTCTTAGGGGGTACGAGAATTATTTATTTTTGCAATATGTACACTACAATATTTAGGCAGAAGTGGTTTGATATTTGGCAATTTACTTGCAAATTATTTAGCATAGATAGATAAATATGCAGAGAGCTAAGTACGGAAAAATGTTAACATTCTTAAAGTTAGAAGTATAGACTTTAGAATCAAACTGGTCTGATTTCAAGTCCTAGTTTCCTCTCTTTCTAGTCCTAACCCAGTTCAGCATTGCTTACCTCCTGGTTGTTCCAGAAAGTGCTGCCTTAATTCCTGTCTCAGTGCTTTTCCTCTGAGGTGCCCTTTGCCCAGACTGCCTCTCCACCACCAGTGAATTTATCCATGATCCAGCTGCAGCCTGACACACAGCCATTCCTTACCACTCTGCCTTCATGGGTCTCTTCCTGTGGCCGGTCTTCCCCACAGAATGGGTTTGAATGAGAAGGGAGTTGAATACTCCCCTAAATCCTGCTCTGTTTATGCCCTCAGTCTCCACATATGGCTGTGATAGAGAGCAAGGCAGGGTCTCAGAGACAGGAGACAAGCCTCTCAGTTACTTAAACTAGACCATGATGTGGAGGGAGAAGGGACGGTATAATAGACAAGAAATACGAAAAACTTCAGCTGTTAGAACTAACGATTTCTTTCTAGGCGCCTGATTCAGCAGGTAGAGCAGGGCGAAGGCGCTGGGATGAGCCACATCACCCCTACCTTGTCCACTCTTCTACGCATGAAGATCACCAGCAGTAAACCAGCTGGCTCCAAGGGCTTTCACCACACAATTCTGGGGTGGCCTCTCACAAAACCTTCGTTTCTTTTATTTGTGGTTTCCATCCCTTTGCAAATATCTTTGCCAACAGCCTCTACACTCAGCCATTCAATGCCTTTGTCCCCGTGTAGGTGAATGAAGGTGAGAAAACATTTGGTGCCTTTGGCCACTTTGGACCCTGAGTAAGGGTCCAAGATGAGCCCCGAAAGTACTATACCCTCTGGGAAAGGCGCAGGAACCACCAGCGGTAATTGTCCCTAAAAGACACCTGTCATGTCTCCACCAAATTCAGGTAGGTCACAAGGCAGGAGTCTGTAATAGGGAAAATGGGGACATGCCATTCCTTCCAATCAGCTGATTAATTCCTTCTCCTTCTCATTCTGTTTCCTTATTTTCCACTCAGTGTACCCACATTTTTAATTGTGATAAATAACACATAACACAAAATTTACCACACTCGCCATTTTTAAGTGTACAATTCAGTAGGGTTAAGTATATTCACATTGTTGTGCAACAGACTGCAGAACTTTTCATCTTGCAAAAATAAAACTCTATACCCATCAAACAACAACTTTCTATTTCCCCTCTCCCCAGGCCCTGGCAACCACAATTCTGCTCTCTGTTGCTGTGAATTTCACTACTTTAGATACCTCGTATAAGTGGAATCAGGTAGTATTTATCTTTTTGTGACTGGATTATTTCACTTAGCACCATGTCTTTAAGGTTCATCCATGTTGTACCATGTGACATGATTTCCTTCTTTTCTAAGGCTGAAAAATATTCCATTGTATGTATATATCACATGTTTTATCCATTCATCTGTTGTTGAACATTTTGGTGGCTTCCACTTCTTAGCTAATGTGAATAACACAACAATGAACATGGGTGAGCAAATATCTCTTCAAGATCCTGCTTTCAGTTCTTTTGGATATATACCCAGAAGTGGGATGCTCAGATCATATGGTAATTATATTTTTAATGTTTTAGGAACCTTCCTTCTGTTTTTCACAGCAGCTGCACAAGTTTACATTCTCATCAACAATGCACAAAGGCTCCAACTTCTCTACATCCTCACCTGCACTGCCTAGTGCTGCTGTTATGATTGTTTATAATAGCCATCCAAATGGGTATGAGGTGATATCTCGTGGTTTTGATCTGCATTTCTCTAATGATTAGTAATATTGAGCATCTTTTCATATGCTTGTTGGTCATTTGTATATCTTCTATGGAGAAATGGATATTCGAGATCTTCGCCCATTTTAAAATCAAGGTTTTTTTTGTTGTTGTTGTTGAGCTAGAAGTTCTTGGTAAATTCTGGATATTACCCCTTTTTAAGACATATGATTTACAAATACTTTCTCCCATTCTATAGGTTGCTTTTCACTCTGGTTTCCTTTGATGTGCAAAAGTTTTTAAGTTTGATGTAGTCTCATTTGTCTATTTGTGCCTGTGCTTTTGGTGTTATGTCCAATAAATCACTGTCAAATTCAAGTTCAGAAAGCTTTTCTTCTAGTAGTTTAATCGTTTTAGATCTTATATTTAGGCTTTAATCGATTTTGAGTAAATTTTTGTATCTGGTAAAAGCTAAGGGAGCAATTTCATTCTTACATTCGTGGATATCCAGTTTTCACAACACCATTTGTTGAAGAGACTGTCCTCTCCCCATTGTTTGGTTTTGGAACCTTTGTTGAAGATCATTCGGCCATATGCATGAGGGTTTATTTCTGTACTCTCTATTTTGTTCCATTGGTCTTTATGTCTGTCTTTATGCCAGTATCAGACTGTTTTGATTACTGTGGCTTTGTAATATATTTTCAAATCAGGAAGTGCGATGCTTCCATCTTCGTTCTTCTTTCCCAAGATTGTTTTGGTTATTCAAGGTCCACTGAGATTCTATAAGAATTTTAGGATACTTTTTCCCATGTCTTCAAAGAATGGTATTGGGATTTTAATAGGGACTGTATTGAATTTGTAAATAGTACTAGGTAGTATGGACATTTTCAGCTATATTAAGTCTTCCAATCCATGAACATGAGATGTCTTTTCATTTATCTGTGCCGCCTTTAGTATCTTTCAGCAATGTTTTATAATTTTAAGTGTACACATCTCTCACCTCCTCGTTTAAGTTTATTCCTAAGCATTTTATTATTTTTGATGCCTTTGTAAATGAGATTTTCTTAATTTCCTTTAGAATAGAGATATTTTGCAAAATTAAAAGTCTGGATTCCATGTGAACATGTAAACAGTCACAGACCCTAAGACAAGGGTTCAAGGACAAATGTCTTATTTGGGAGGTGATCCTAGTAGGCACTGGTAGTGGAACAAGGACATGAGACAGAGGATATAAGGCAACCTACAATGTAGGCACTGTTCTGTCAATTCACTAATCTTTGTCTCCACATGGATGAAAATGGGAGTCCGTGTCTCTGAGTCATCCCACTGATAGGATCACTGGCTGAAAGTTGCCCAGGGATCATTAATTCTCTTGCCTTTCCAGCCTGCGAGGGCCCTGGGAAGAGCAGGCTATGGTTGCTAGAGAGAATCCTCAGGGAATTGGAAGCCATTGCTGTTGTGCTCAGTGGTTGTAATGAGCAAGTGGTATGAGTAGAGAGCTTTATGTCTGCTTCATATACCCGATATTTTTTTAGACTAGTGGTATACTAACTTCTCCTGGTCTGAAGTTTCAAATGCATCTTCTCTCTACTGCCCTGATTCACCCATTCCTGATTACTGGAGGCTGGTTAGGACTTGAATCAGGGCTTGTCTGGAAGGGGAATAACTACTCTGAGGACAGCTAGAGAGCAGATGAACCTCAAATATGGTTGGGTTCGTATCCATTTTTATTTGCCTGCACAGATTTTCTGCTTCCAAAATCATCCTAAATTTACTTGGGAAGTTCCCTCCCTTCCCTCCCTCCCTCTCCTCCAGCCCCCTATCCACGCACATAATCTCCAGTCTACATGAATCAGGAAGTACATATGCAGTTTGATTCAGGTGTTAAAAAAATCAATTAGAGCAAGTGTTGGCAAAATTTTCTGTAAAAACCAAACAGTAGATAGTTTAGGCCTTGTGAATAAGAGGCAAAATTAAGAACATTGTGTAGGCAGTAATACAACAAAAGAAAAAAACAAATTTCCACATTTTTTTAAACAAAATCCAAAAACAATTGAGTATATTTTTTGTAATAGAGGTCTGCAAATGGAATTTTTTTCTTTTCTTTTTTTTTTTTTTTCTGTACTCGGGCCTCTCACTGTTGTGGCCTCTCCCGTTGTGGAGCACAGTCTCCGGACGCGCAGGCTCAGCGGCCATGGCTCACGGGCCCAGCCGCTCCACG